CTTGCTCGTCTGCCCCATCCATCTATGATACCAGGAGCTCCTGTCTCCCTCAGGGCCTGTGGCGCAGAACCTGGCACAAAGCTGGAGCACCTACCAATGTGTTGATTGAACCATCTGGAGGTGGAGAGGGATTAGACAGTTCAGGTTGGTGAGAGAAGTTCATAGAAGCTTAAGGAATGGTGGTGACAGGTATGTGTGAAGAGGCTTAGAGGACCTTTCGATGGGAGAGGAAAATGGGTCCCCATCTCCTGGGACTCTCCCTGCTGGGTGGTGGATGAGGAGCTCGCTTCCTCCTTCTTCCTTCCCGATGTCCCCATGTCATGCCTCTGGGTCTGAAATGCAGCTGTCCGTGAAGTGTCCTTGGCGATCTCCACGCAACAGCTGAAGGAGGGCATGGTGCTTGGGGTGCAGGCCAGACCAGCTCCCTTGGGGGGACCCCCTGGACAGGGTGCAGCGGTGCTTGCTGCCCTCTGCCCTCCCTGGTCTCCCGGGCTGACCTCTCCGTTCTCACAAACCTCCCCTTTCCTTCCCGCCTTGAAATCTGATAACAGAACTAATACCCTATATTTTTGCCTCCAAGAGAGGCAGGAGATAAACAGGAAGGCGTGAGGGATTAAGGTGTCTCTCCAAGGAAGGGGCAGGGGACAGGCTGGGAGACGGGGGACATCCCTGTGTGCTGCCGAGGGCTCCAGATGTGAGCTGCTTGGCCCGACACATTTTTCCATTTGTGCAGAGAAAATAAAACAAAGAGAAAAGAAAACAAGCTGTCAAATGCTCTGCAGAAGCCTGAGTGTGGGCAGTGGTCACTGATGTCCCCTGACAACTCCAGGAGGAGGGGGGACAGGGAGGGGGCCGGGGGACCCCTGCCTTTTGATGTTCAGTCTCTGAGCTTTCTTTTGTGTGACCAGTTGTTTGGGAAGAGCTTCGGTTGGTGGAAGGTGTGTGGAAGGTAGAAGAGAGATACCAGCCAGAGGTTTCCCTTGGAGTGGGGAAGCGGGGTGATGAGCTCCCAGGAGGTCACAGGGGACAGCTGGGCTGACTTTGCAGATGTGAATACCAGCTTAGCATCTGCCTCTGAGATGGACCAGAAGATGCTGCTCCTGAGGCCTTTCTCCTAGCCCAGAGACCTGAGGAAGTGTCACCCTGGAGATCCTTCCAGATCCCTATGCCAGGCCCTGTGACTTCTGTCCTAGTAGAAAAGATCTGGACTCTGACCCCTTGGTCTAGGATGAGCTATTTCTTCCAGGGACCTGGGTCCTTTCCTTTGGGGCAACTGACCAGGAACCGAGAGACCTGGGCTCTAGTCCTGGGCCCCCATTTCCTGGCTCAGAGGTCCTAGGCTGGTAGTTTACTTAACCCCTCAGAGCAGCACCCTCTCCACAAGTCTGGTTGAGTGAGTCACCAGTGACAGTGAACTTGTATCATTCCCTGTGCTCATGGGCAGGGCAATGCTGAATAGGTTTCTTTGTATGTAGTTGAACTCGGCCCTGAGGGCTGGAGGCGATGAGGGGATACTTGTAAAGCTCTTGGGAGTCATTCTTTGGCCTAATTTGGCTTCTAGATGCTTCTTCCAGACTTCAGGCTTAAGCTGAGGTCTTTTCTCTTGTATCACACACAACACGTCCTCAAAAGCCCTCATCCGTCTCAACTTGTAAGTAGTGTGTCATTTGGAGAGTGACTCTAGGAAGAATATTTAAAGAAGTTTATCATAACATCAGAGAGAAAAATGAAAGAGGCAAAATTTTTTAGATCACCAAAGTAGTATGTAAATAAGAAACTGGTAAAAATATTTGCAACTGGTATGTAAAACATACAAATTCAATAGATGTCATCAGAAAAAAAACCCACCTTTTTTGAAAACTGGGTAAAAGACATGAACAGGCAGTGCATACACAAAAAAAGAAATATAAATAGAAAAACAAACACACAGAGAAATGTCCAACCTCACTGGTCATCAAAGACATACAAATTAAAATTGTGTGCATGTGTGTTTTCCAGATGAATTGGCAAAGCTTTAAAAAAAAGGAATGCTGATACCAAATGCATATTGTTTTTCTTTTCAACAGTATGGAGAATATAGGAAGTAGGAGCTTTCACATCCTGCTCGTGGGAGAGTAAACCAGGACAGCCTTTCTTGAGGGCAATTTGGCATTTGGGATCTCAAGTTAAAAACACCAAAATTTAACATAGCAATTCTGCCGTGAGAAATTTACTGTATGACAGTCATCAGAGCAGAGTACACATATTCGTGTTCAAAGGTGGTTACCACTGTAATGTTTATAATAGTGAAAAGCTGGAAATAACTGCCCAACCTGGGAAGGCTCTGCTTTTTGTTTTGAAATTTTGTCCACACCTCGCCACATGTGGGATCTTCCTCAACAAAGGCTTGAACCCACACCCCCTGCATTGGAGGCCAGAGTCTTAACTACTGGACCACCAGGGAAGTCCCAAGGCCCAGCTTTTCACTGCATCCACTTCTGTTTCCAAGGAGCCCATTTCGTGTATTCACACAGTGGAGGACTTTCAAAATTATGAAGGACATTATCTGACATTAAAAAATATTCATCATCATGTGAAAATAGGCTGGGAAGCTAGAGGTACATGGATGATCCATGTCTGTCAGAAAGAGCTCCACAGCTGAGTAAATGTTAATTAAAGCCTGCAGGGAAAGACCCGGTATTAACAGCAGTTGGTGGAAATTTGAGTGCATTTTTTTTTTTTTAACTTTCTGCTTTTGTTTTTCAAGTATCTGGTATTAAACATATATTTAACAATTACATAAAAGGTGATTTAGGACTTCCCTGGTGGTCCAATGGTTAAGACTCTGCTCCCAATGCAGGGGGCACGGGTTCAATCCCTGATCAGGGGACTAAGATCCCACATGCCACGTGGTGCAGTCAGGGGAAAAAAAAAAAACTATTTAAAACAAGCTTAGCACAAAAGCAAAGGCAAGTCACGTTGTAGAGTGTGCAAGATTAGGCCAGATTTAAGCTGGAGATATGTCCGAGTTAGAAGCCTAAAGAAGAACCAGGTAACAGTGTCACAGGGTAACATAAGGAAGGCTGATTGAGGGGGCCCTGCTGGCTGCCTGGGGAGCTCAGAGCCTTCGTGTGTAAGCCGAGCTGGCGGAAGGTGAAGATGAGCCTGGAAGTGACATTGAAACCAAGAAAGGGCTGATGGAAGGAGGCCGTCAGATGAGAAGGGGGCTTGAGAGCAGAGTCACAGGAGGGAAGGAGCAGCACATGCCTGTCCTTACAGAGGGGACAGGTGAGGGGTCCTCACATGTGGCCTGCTCCAGAAACTGAAAGGGTTTGATACCTCCGAAGCCTAAGAGGAGAGGGGGCTGAGCAGAGCTACAGTGGGAGAGAGGAGCTGAACCAGTTTATGCAGAGCCCTGGAGGCAGTGTTAAATGATTTTGGTTTTATTCAGTGGGGAGCCACTGAAAAATTTTAAGTAACTGCTGGACATCCTCAGACAGGGGCTCAGAACTTCTGCTCGGGTTATAGTGTTGGGAGCCTGAAGGGTTCAGTGGGGCGGGGGTGGGGGGAGGGCAGTGTCTGAGGTCTGATGAATGGAGAGCAGTGAATGGGTCTGGGGGAAGTGCCTCTGGGTCCACATGAAGACCTCCAAGCGGAAGCCGGAAATGTGGATTTGCGGGTCAGGAGCACAGAGGCGGTCACTGCTGTGAGGGGTGAACCAGGCAGACCCGGGAGAGCATCAGAGCAGAGGAGAAAAGTCCACAGGAGCACTGGTGTGGGGAACAGGCGGAGGAAAGCAGGATTAGGCAGGATTGTGAAGGCCAGGGGCGGGATGCTGAGGGCCTGTCCAGAGGACCTGGCTGCCAGGAGCGTGGCCACCACGCTGTGGGAAGAAGTTCTGCAAGTTGATGGCAGGAGGGGAGATGGTGCAGGAGGAGGTGGGGAAAAGGAGAGTCCAGGCCAGTGTCTGGAGCTCAAAGACGTGCAGAGTGTGCACGGGTAGAAGTGATGCTCAGAAGCAGTACATGCATCTGCTTGGGCTGCCGTGATAAAATGACTCCCATTGGGGCGCTTAAACCAACACACGTGTACTTCTCATAATTTGGAGACTGGAGTCAAGATCAGTGTGGGCAGGTCTGGTTTCTCCTGAGACCTCTCTCCTTGGCTTGCACCTCTGCCACCTCTCTGTGCGTCCAGACTTCCTCTCTATAAAAAGAGGACACCAGTGGTTGGACTAGGGCCCACTCTAATGTTCTCATTTTAGTATAATCATCTCCTTAAAGGCCCCATCTCTAGGGTATGTCCTCTGTCTGCCAGTGAAGTGAAGGTCGCTCAGTGGTGTCTGACTATACAGTCCATGGGATTCTCCAGGCCAGAATACTGGAGTGGGTAGCCATTCCCTTCTCCAGGGGATCTTCCCAACCCAGGGATCGAACCCAGGTCTCCCGCATTATGAGCAGATTCTTTTTCACCAGCTGAGCCACCAGGGAAGCCCAAGAATACTGGAGTGGGTAGCCTATCCCTTCTCCTGCGGATTTTCCCGACCCAGGAACCAGGGTCTCCTGCATTGCAGGCAGGTTCTTTACCAACTGAGCTATGAGGGAATCCCTCTGTCTGCCAGGATGTCTCCAAATAGAAGTCACATTTGGAGATTCTGGGGTTAGGGCTTCAGCATATGAATGGGGGGTGGGAGAGGGGCACAGTTCAGCCCATAACAAGCAGGATTGGGGCATAAGAAGGATGCCAGCTGCACATCCCAACTCTGACTGGGGATAGATAGAGGGTGGGGGTGGGGATCCTTTGCAGGAATTGAACCATCTCCATGGGGAGGGAAGCAGGTGCCTGGCGATGGGTCAGGCACAGTCAGGTGGTCCATAGGTGATGGATGCAAACAGGGGAGCCTAGGAAAAGCTCCCAGAGGAAAGGCTGCTTTGAGGTCAGACTGTGGAGGAGGGGGAACTGGAGGGGATGTCCAGGGTCTTCGGTGGCCCCCTCCTGACCCGTGTCCCTGCTTCCCACAGCCTGTAACTGCAACCTGCACGCCCGGCGGTGCCGCTTCAACATGGAGCTTTACAAGCTGTCAGGGCGCAAGAGCGGGGGCGTCTGCCTTAACTGTCGCCACAACACGGCCGGCCGCCACTGCCACTACTGCAAGGAGGGCTACTACCGCGACCTGGGCAAGCCCATCACCCACCGCAAGGCCTGCAAAGGTAGGCGGGGCGAGGCCCGGGCACCACCTCTACCTCTCTATATCTATATCTGTCTGTCTGTCTGTCTAGCTATCTGTCTCCCCCTCCTCTTTTATTCTTATCCCCACGCTGAGATCATCGCATGCATGCACGCCTTTTGGAGGTGTAAGCCAGAACAAAGGGGCGGTGGAGGCGCGACTCTGGGAGAAGAAAGGGGGGTGGTAATCCCGGCGAGGGTGCAGGGCTCCCAGGCCCCGCCCCGCCGCCTCTGTCCGCACAGGTGTGCCGCATACCGCAGGGCGGGGGTCATGTTCGCCCGGCTTACTCTCGGCACAAAGGACTCTCTTTCACCAAAACCTCGCAGATGCATTTCTTTGGAGGTGTGCGCCCATCCCCACCTCCTCCAGCCCCAACACTCACACAGATGCGCACCTTCACAGATGTCGGCAACTTGGGGAGGGGGAAAGTGGGGTGAGAGGCAGGGGCTCAGAAGCAGCATTTAATCCACCTGCAAATAGTTTCACTTCTCAGGACAAAAAATTAAAGGGAGACGGGGGTCTCTATTTTCTTTCACTGAAGCAAATGGTAATGTTTTAACTTTGTGCTGTTTGTTTTCTCCCACTAACAAAAATGAAGCCATGATCAGATGACTCCAAGGAGTTGATGAAATGCCAGGGAATTTAGTGACAATGGGGAAGGGGAGAAGTGCTCCTCTCCTCCTCCCAACTCCCCTACATGCATTTGGTTTTGGGAATTCCTGGAACCAAGGCCCTCTGGATCCAAAACTTGGGGCCTAAAGACATTGCTTGCCGAGAGCCTGACTTCCTGGGAAGATATTCATCTCCGAGGGCTCTTGGGCCACAAGCCAGTGTGGCTGGGATCCTCACATGGGTCTGTAAAGACCCTGAGGCAGGAGAGACCCCAGCCAACCTAGGCCTGGATGAGAAGCTACAGCAGAGAAGTCCTTCTATGGCTACTGCTCAGCCCTGGATGAAGCTAGAGTATCATCTTCTTAACAGGAAATCCACCAGATGTTGGGCACTTGTGTGCAGGACCGATTACATAATTTGTGGGCCCTGGTGCAAAATGAAAATATGGGACTTCTTCTTGTTCAGAAATTGCTAAGAATTTCAAAATGGCAAGCCGAGTTTCAGCCTAGCTTGTGCCCTTCTTAGTGTGGGGCCCATGCAGCCTGCCCTGCTGGTGCAGAATGCTTTTCTCTAAAAAACAGATTCCTAGTCTGTCTTCTCCCAGGGAAATCCCTGAGATTCCAAATGAGCAGAGGGTGGCTTCCCTCACACAAGGTCTCTTTCCAGTTCTGTGGACCTAAGGCTGCCTCTGGTGGTTGCCGAGAGAAATTTAAGTATTAAGGTAGCTGGGCTGTTTTCCATGTTAGAAACCACCGATCCAGGTGAGAAAGCCCCAGGGAGTTTGACCAGGAATTGAGAAAGCTGACCTGGGAAAAAGTACCCAAGAAATATCCACAGTAGCAGGAAGGCAGGGGCACCAGGGAAGGAGGGCTTTGGGTTTTCAGAGAAAGTAGTTCGAAGGTAGCCAGTGCCTTGTGCCCAAGTGTTTTGTTGTCTTTTTTCTACAGAAGAAATTGAAGTCAGGGTCTTGTAAACAACTGGTTGCACATAGATTTCTTGGGGATTTGGCCAAAAAATTTTACTCAACGGGGACCAGTCAGGTGGGCAGCCCTGTGCCCTTGAATGAGAAGATCTGGGCTCTGCTTGGAAGGGCAGTGGTCACTTCCTGTAGTGCCAGTTTCAGCCGTCAGAGAAGGAAAGGCATGTCCCCTGGAGAGTCAGGAAGGAGCAAGGCCTTGGTCATCTTGCTATCTGCATCTCTTCCCTTTCCTTTGTTGCTGTGGGGAGGGACAAGGGCCGTATGTGGCCTGACACTGCTCAGAGTGAGATCTCAGAAGGCCACAGGGTCCTGGGAACCTGCAGACCACCCTCTGGGGCTCTGCCACTGTGGTTCAGTGGTGTGGAGCTGCAGGCTTCCTGTGCTGCTTTCCAGGAGAAACAGATACAGGCAGGCAAGGGTGGGGTCCTGTCTTCTTTCAAATGCTCTGGTCAGCCTGGATGGCTTTGTCTTTCCTCCCAGCCCTGGACAGCAACCGCTTTGATGTTAACTCAGAGAAGGACCCATGGAAGGGGAAAAAATATAGGGATGGAATCTGCTCAAAAGAGTACTTGCTTATCCTTCTGGGGAAATGTGTTAGGAAAAGTGAGATTCTCAGTGCCTCCTGATTGGCAGGGGAGGACAATGTTTCAAGGATCCTGCCTCCTGATTGGTGAGGGAAGATAGTGTTTCAAGGATCCTGCCTCCTGATTGGTGAGGAAGAGCATTGCCTGATTGGTGAGGAGAGACCACACATGGAAGATATGCTCTCTGATTGGTGAAAAGAAGAATGTGGCGTGAAAGGTCCTGCCATTTCACTGTGAGGAAAGGCATCTCTTGAAAGTTCCCCATCTTTCCCCTTAGCTTTTTTTTTTTTTCCTGATGTTACCCCCTTAGAGATGTGGGAATTTGCAGTCCACAGTTCCCCCACCAAAGAAAGACCCTGAGATTTGGGGGGAACCAGCTATAGTTCAGATGCTGGCAGGGGAATGTGTACCCTCGAGATCTTCAGACAGGGGTCTCTCTCATCACCTTTGGAAAATTCCACTGTTTTGTCTTCCCAAGGCTGGATGGTTTAAGGAAATGGTTCCCTTGGTGGCAGCATTTGATCCCTGAACCTGATGGTTCACTTTCAGAGGCTTCCAGAATCATGTAGATTGTAGCGCTGGGGTGAAAGCTGTACTTCTTTGCTCTGTCTCAAATGCATTTCATGGGGAAAATGGGACAGCCAGCAGTGCTTCTTGACTCAACTTGGCCATTGACGTAAGGGTGCCTGGAAATAGCCATGGGGGCCCCTTGAGCCCCTGACTTCCCAGGGCCTGGGAGGAGCCCCGAGCAGGGGGCTGAGGCCACCCATACACTGCTGGTGATGGGCTGACGCCTGACCTTGTTCAGTTGAGAGCAGGGGTGGACCCAGACAAGAACAGCTTGGAGCAAGGGCATTCCGTCCCAAGCATCATTATGCCATCCCCCCAAGGGAAGTTTCATAGCAACAAATTTGTTGGGTTCTTTCTCCCCTCCCCTAGTTTGGAACCAGATGGGGGCTGGCAGCGCTAGTGCATACAAAGGGCTGTAGTCAACATGCCCAGGGAGCAGGCGGCTGCACTCTCCGCTATTCAGCGCGATTTCACAGCCCTGGGAAGGCCTCATTATGGCCTGGGCTGTTGTCCTATACAAAGTCAGACGAGATGAGTTTCTCCCCTTTCTCTGCAGAAGGGTGTATGAGTGATACTCGTCCTGGAATCTGTAAAGAGGGATAGGCGGTTTTGTTTACCATTTGTCTTCTTTATGGACTCGGGGCTCTTTCTCTTTAGAGCAGGCAAAGAAGACGTTACCATTTAACCATTTCAGCCGGGCCTCCCTTTAAATGATATTAATTTATCATCTCCTCAAACCATCTGTGATGGATAAAGACATTCCGGGAGTCTCCCGTGAACTGAATTGTGATGAGAACGGAGAAATTACCCACCGCATCCATCGCCCGCCCAGCTCAGAGCGGCCTGTTTCTTGCCGTCATTGCCCTGCGCCCTTCAAGTTCACAGTCATCGTGGCTCATCGCAAGCCGCTGAGAACGTGCCTGAGTCCTCGGAAGCTGTGGGCAACAGTGGGCCTGTAGCCCCCCAGGGGACCCCAGTCTGAGCAGAAAAGCTTCCTGATGTTTGTGCTTCTCCCCCACAGCCCCCCTTAACAGGGACATTACTTGGGAAGGAGCTTCTGCTACCAGAAGAGCTGCAGGTGGTCCCCAGCCCCAGGCTAGGAATTTTCCCGTCTGAAAATGGGGATAATAACAGTCCCTTCTTGGGACTTGCCTGGTGGCCCAGTGGGTAAAGCTCCCTGCTCCCAATGCAAGGTTCCAGGTTAAATCCCAGGTCAGGGATCTAGATCCCACATGCTGTGACTAAGAGTTCACATGCTGACACTCAAGATTCTGCATGCTGCCAGAGAAGATCCAAGAACCTGAGCAATGCAGCTAAGACCCAGCACAGCCAAATAAATACATATTAAAATAATATTAGGGAAGAGACATCACTTTGCCAACAAAGGTCCGTCTAGTCAAGGCTATGGTTTTTCCAGTAGCCATGTATGGATGTGAGAGTTGGACCATAAAGAAGGCTGAGCACCAAAAAATTGATGGTTTAGAATTGTGCTGGACAAGACTTTTGAGTCCCTTGGACAGCAAGACTAATCAATCCTAAAGGAAATCAACCCTGAATATTCATTAGAAGGACTGATGCTGAAGCTCCAATACTTTGGCCACCTGATGCGAAGAGCTGACTCATTGGAAAAGACCCTGTTGCTGGGAAAGATTGAAGGCAGGAGGAGAAGGGGNCTTTTGCCTGTAAATCAGCTGCAGGAAGACTGTAGTTAACTATTAATAGATCATGGAGAGTTAAATAACCCAGTTTGGGATGCCAGGGCTCCCCCTTCCACTTCCTGCTGTCCGCACCTTCATCCAAAAGTGGCGGGGGAAAGAGAGGTCTGCAACTTGAAACATGTCTTCTTTTGTGCCTCCTTAGCAACTGCTGGGAGAAAGAAAAGCAGAGCCTAGGAGGAGTGGACAAACAGCTGAGATGAAGTTTGCGGATTACCTGTGGATTTAAATTATTCTCGTCCCTCATTAGCACGGAGAATTTGCAAGTGGGGAGTGTCCGTTATTGCGGTTGCTAGTGATCTCAGATGTGAGGGGAGGGTCTTTCCTGTGTGTCCCTCCTCCTCTCCTCCAGATTCAGGGTCCATGAAACAGCCTCTTCCCACAGGGTGGGCGGCACAGTGGCCCTGAGCGTGTGCACTGATTGAACCCGTGTCCATGGATCTCCTGCCCCACACGGGAACTGGGGGTTGAGTGGTGACCAGCACGGACAGGGTCCTCTGGAACTTGTGTTCTGGAGGGAGGTTGATGATAAAGGAGAAAAAGTAAGCAGAGGATTATTACAGATTGTGGTGAGTTACATGGAGGAAATAAATAAGCTGGAAATAGTGTAACTGGCAGCGGGGAGGGGGGCTGCTTTGCAGGGCATCCTGTGAGGACCTGTCTGAGGATGGGATGGACTTTGAGATGAGACCTGGGGTTCAGGGGCAAACAGCCATGGGGACACCGAGGAGCAGTACCCATGCCTGAAAGCAGGAAAGGGCTGGAGGGCCCTGGGTCAGAAGGGAAGTAAAGGAAGGGGCCAGTTCTGAGAGCCACGGAAGCCACCAGGAAGGCTGAGGATCAGTGACCAGACTGATGCTCATGGCTTGCCTCGTAAGAAGCTTCTGCTGTGAAGGAGCAGATAGGGAGAAGTATTTGTGCATCCCATATCCGACCAAGGACTTGAATCCAGCTTATGTGGAGAACTCTCAAAACTGCACAATAAGGCAATACCAACCACTCAGCTAGAAATGGGCAGAATACTTGAACAGATAGTTGGTGAAGATACAGGGTTGGCGGATAAATACCTCAACCATCATTCTTCTGCATCATTCTTCTACATAGACTAGAACCATGGCGAGATGCCACCACCCACCTATTGTTCAATCGCTAAGTCGTGCCCAACTCTTTGTGACCCCATGGACTGTAGATCTCCAGGCTTCTCTGTCCTTGGGATTTCCCAGGCAAGAATACTGGAGTGGGTTGCCATTTCCTTCTCCAGGAGATTTTCCCAACCCAGGAATTGAACCCACGTCTCCTGCATTGGCAGGTGGATTTTTCACTGCTGAGCCACCAGGGAGAAGTGAAGCATAGAGCTGCCATAATACCAAGCAATGCTTCCTCTTGATGTTTATCCCAGAGAAATGAAATCTGTGTTCACACAAAAAACAGCACATGGATGTTGATAAAAGCATTATTCACAACTGGCAAAAACTGGACACAGCCCAACTGTGCTTTGGCGGGTGAATGGTCAAACAATCAGTGGTATGTGCGTACTGTGGAATCCAACTACGTGATGCAAATGGACACGCTGTTGACTGACTTGGCAACACGGATGCATTTCAAACGCACTGGGCATGTGTGTGCAATAAGTTGCGTCAGTCGTGTCTGACTCTTTGCAGCCTTATGGACATAGCCCTTGAGGCGCCTCTGTCCATGGGATTCTCCAGGCAAGAATACTGGAATAGATTGCCATTTCCTGCTCCAGGGAATCTTCTGAACCCAGGGATGGAACAAACCCATGTCTTTTACATCTCCTGCATTGGCAGCTCGGTTCTTTACCACTAGCGCCACCTGGGAAGACACACTGCGCATAAAGGAGGCCAATTTCAAAAGATTACCTGCCGTATGCGTCCATCCACCATACATCCTGCACCTCCATACACTTTACATTCCATAAATCCCAGAATAAGATATTCTGAAAAGGCAAAGCCCTAGGGTCTGAGAACAGATCTGGGTTTGCCAGGCGTCAGGACAGGGACCTCACCGCAGAGGAGGATCAGGGCTGCCTGCCTTCCCCGTCAGCTTTGCAGGGGCCCTCAATAACCCCAGTGCACTTCTCGTAGCTGGCAACACGGATCTCAGAGACGAGAGTCCAGCCCAGTGCAGCAGTTCATGGTGTTGGACAGGGTGCCCCATGGGTATGGAGTGAGGGCCTGGCATGCCTTGCGGCAGGAGCGTGTTCCTGGTCCCCTGAGCTGGGACATGGCAGTGGACTGCAGCAGTGGGGGTAACGGTCCCAGGGGCCAGGACACTGCCCTGGATATTAGCCTGTTTAGTTGGAAGCAACTTTAGTGCAAGTATAAACATCTGGTCTTAGAGATGAGCTACCTAAGACTCAGAGAGAGCGAGGCACTAGCCCAGAGTCACACCGCATTACTGACAGGGCAGGATCAGACCTGGGTCTCTTGACACCCATCTGAAACCATCTGTGTGTCCTAAGCTGTTCATATCTGGCTGATGACCCCAAGCAAGGACAGTCTGGCTTCTCCTCTGCGCCATCGGGCTACCATCCAACCCATGTGTTCATGAGAAACCTAATCCGGCTGCCTTCTCAGGGCCTTGGGCTTCCTCCTAGCCTCACCTTCCTCTTCATGGAAAAACTCTCTGGTGGATTGTTTCCCAGGGCCAGGTTCTGCCTGCTGCGTGCAGATGATGACTTGCCAGGGAAGGGCCTGACCTCCTCCGAGCGGAGTGGCTGACATCCAGGGAAACGGGAGTCACCGAACCGGGCTTCCTGCAGGAGAAGACATTCTGACCCAGAGCCTGTTCTTGGAAGAATCCGGGAGGCTCTTACTTTGTCCCTTTAACCAGACCCCCCACCAAGGAGGAGACTTCTCCTTGCTCACGTCCACATCCTCGCAGCTCAGCCTGCCCTCATCCTCTCCCTGCCCCCTGTGGTGCCGTGTGCGCTTGTGTGTCTGAGAGTTGTAGGAATCTATGTGTGTTTGTGTGTCTGGGTGTGTTTCGGGTTTGGGGGAATACAGCACAGTCCCTTTGGCTTTCTTTCTCTAAGGACCAGGGCCGGAGTCTCCTGTTTAACCGGTGGGCAGCTCAGACCGTCTTCCTGTGTGCATTGCTAGCTGGATTCTCTTGTCCAGGGTTGTAGAGAACCCACTGTGGGCTGCTGTCATTCATCAGTTCTCCCACACCTTGAAGCTCATCCTTCTTTGCCCAGAGGATATAACTTAGCTTTCCTTAATCATGGGGTTTGAGGAAAAGTCTTTACTTTGCGGCCATTTAGCTGTGAATTGAGAATGAATGCAATGCAAGTGTCTGTGTTGGGCCTGCATTTGGCCGCACGTAAGAGATGCCACCTGACCTTGGTTTCAACAGGGAAGGGTGTATTTCTCCTTGCAGAATGGGAAGTGCTGGGGGACACACAGGAGATGGTGAAGGCCCTTGGTGACTTGCTCAAGAGATCAGGCCCTTTCTGTCTCCCCACTCCTGGCCTCTTCGGTATAGTCATGCTAATTTCACAGGCTGGTGGGAGGACCAGAAGGACGGCATGTGGGGGTGCTCAGGGGTCCGAGTGGCAGGGCTGTGCTGCAGGAGCGCTCCACCTCTGAGGATGGTCCCCCCACCAAGGCAGTGACCTGAGTAGCCTTCCACTTACCGCCACTCACCCCTCTGCCTGGACCCTCTGGGACCCTGCTGACTTCTCTTCCTGTAACAGTGATTTGCGTGAAGCACAGTCAGCCCGCTGCTTCTCTCAGACCAAGGGCCAGTTGCTCAGAGTCTTTGCAGGATCTTGAGAAAATGATTTGGAAACTGCACAGCAAAGAGCCCCCTCCTGTAACCAAAGGCTGGGTCTAAGGACGTGCCTGCTCCATGAAGCAGACGCACTGCCCTGCCATCACCGAGGATGGCCCTCAGCTCTGCCCATCTCAGCTGGCGCCCGGCTCCTCCCTGACAGCTCACCAACCCCAGGGGGCCGAGGGGTCCCCAGCTTTGAGGGGCCTCAGGCGAGGGCAATGCACTCTGCTCCCCCTAGATTCTGCTCTGGGCCAGCTCCTGCCTTGGTGGAGATGACTTGGGCCTGTGGGTGACTTGGCTTGGACCCTCCAGTGACCGTGCAACCTTTGGTGACCTCCTCCCTGCTGAATCCAAGGCCCAGAAGTCACTGGCACACAGCTGTGTTCCGTCAGCACGGAGGGGGAGGATGTCTTGGCGTGGGTTTCAGGATTACCAGCAGGCTTGTGAAGCTGGCCAAGGGAGGTCAGCTGGCAGGAGCCTGGGGAGTCCATATCCGCCTGGTGGTGCCCACGCCTGCACCAGGGGCTCGGGACGCCAGGGGCCTGTGCTTGGCCTTTGCTGTTACCAGGCCAGCTCAGAGAAGCCACCGTGGCCCATCGCCCTTCCTGTCATAGGGATGGATCTAAGGTCATTGGTCACTTCCAACCATCCCCTCTTCATAGCATCATCCACAGTGCGCTTCGAGGCTGAGTGAAAGAAAAGAGGGAAGAAAAAGAAAAAAACATTGGAAAATGAACTTGAATTTAGGATGGATTTGACAGACGTTTCTAATAGAAGGTTTGCTGCTGTTCACAGGGGCGGGATTGGGACAGTTCCATTTCCTCCCCTAGACCTTGTCCCCTGCCCTCCCCTCACCTGGCTTGGAGCACCCTGCCCCATGCCCCCTCCTCCCCTAGACCCGTACTCCCAGGGTTTCCAGAAGCTCTCACGTGTCCAGACACAACTTCAACAAGCAATTCCTCACATTCCTGTCCTTTCTGCACCCTCGCCCCTCCGCCTTCCTCTTCCTAATTCTCCTCCTGAGCCCCTCCTGGGCCCGAGGCTGGCCAGCTGGGAGAGGCCGGGTCTTCACCCGAGGCGTGGCGCCCTCATGCTGAGCGGCACCCGCTGGGGAGGTGTTAGCGTAGCTCTTTGGGGAGCGCTGCTCTCACTTATTCCCTCGGATACTTTTTTCCCATTTGGAATAGAAACAGAGCAGCTCCGGCACCACGTGAACTTGCAGCAGGTCGCCCTCCTGCAGACAACTCCTCACCCTCTCCAGGCTTCTCTTCCCTGGGGGGAGGGCCAGGGAGACCCCAGCAGAGTGGGCGAGAGCATTGGCCTCCTTCCTGCCTCCCCTTCTCTGCCCACGCTGAGTCCACTGCCTAGGTCCAGGGAGGCAGGTGTCCTGTGTTTGCAGATACCGCAGTTCTTGCTCAAGCCTCGTGGAGTTAATGGGCATCGAGTTCCCAGGTGACACTAGTGGTAAAGAACCTGCATGCTCATGCAGGAGACATAAGAGACGTGGGTTCAATCCCTGGGTTGGGAAGACCCCCTACAGAAGGGCATGGCAACCCGCTGTAGTATGTTTGCCTGGAGAATCCCATGGACAAAGGAGCCTGCTGGGCTACAGTCCACGGGGCCACACAGAGTCAGACAAACTGAGTACATGTGGCACGATACACTAATCCTCTGTAGCCACACACTGTAGATGGGGTGACTTAAACCACAGATACTTATCAGGACTTTGGAGGCAGAGAAGCCCAGGATGGAGGTGCCTGCTGATCTAGTGTCAGATGGAGGTTGCTTCCTGATTTTCTGACAACCACCTTTTTGCTGTGTGCTTGTACCAAGAGCTCTTTCTCTCTTCCTCGTCTTCTGAGGGTGCTGATCGCACCATGAGGGTCCCACCCACATGACCTCATCTACCTGATTACCTCCAAGGGCTCTGCCTCCTAATGCCATCACATTGGGGGTTAGCTTTCAACATGTGAATGTGCAGGGGGGATGCAGTCATTCAGCCCATAATAGGGGGCGTGTCCCCTTAAACTCCTCTGGTTGTTTTGTCACTGGGTCCTGGAAATAGGGAGGGAACCTTGGGGTGCAGTGTGACGGGGTGGGCAACTGCAGCTCTTTAGCCCATTGCAAACCTGGAGGAGGGCTGTGGGGTGCAGCAGCCCTTGAACTGAGAACCAGGGCCTCGTGGCACTTCCCAGCTTGGCCAGTCCTTTTCTGCAAGGCCCTGGGTGGGGGGGCGTTCCTTCACCTCCAAGTCTTTAAATTTCATCAGGGCCTTTAACTGAAGGATAGTTGTGAGTCTTCCTAGGGCTACAGTTGATGGATTTTGTGATCCAGAAGCCTGAGTCTAAGACTGCCTGCCTGCCAGTCCGGTTGGGTGGATAGAGCAGAGTGGGGGCAGCAGCCCTGGGGGGGGACACTCCTTGCTGACTCCCTCTGAGCTGGCAAACCCCAGGGCTCCATCCGGCCCCAAACCCTGTCCCTCCCACTCAGAGGTCAGCAAGGATGCCTGGGCGCTAGGAGCTGGCTAGGGGCAGAGGAGCAAGAGGGCGCAAAGCAGCCTGTCAAGGGCAGGTGTACCCCCAAATCTGACCCCTGCCCTCCCACTCAGCCACTGGCTGTGAGGTGTTCCTCCTGGGCCTTCAGAAGGGCACCCTGACTTGACTCCTCTGCCCGGACTGTCCTTTCTGGTTGGTCCATTCTGATTTTCATTTCCCGTCTCCAGGTAGGCATGTGGTCAGTGATAAGAGCTTCTGGAATGTGTATGGGTTGGCTCCCCACGCCCTGCTCAGCCCTTCCCCTGGGGTGGGGTCTGGGGGGCGCTCTGGCTAGGTGGGGAGGGCCTCGGAGGAGGGTGGGCTCTGGTCACTCCCACCCTTTCACCCCCCCCTGTTTTGTGTTCCCCACAGCCTGCGATTGCCACCCCGTGGGCGCTGCTGGCAAGACCTGCAACCAGACCACGGGCCAGTGTCCCTGCAAGGACGGCGTGACCGGCATCACCTGCAACCGCTGTGCCAAGGGCTACCAGCAGAGCCGCTCACCCATCGCCCCCTGCATAAGTACGCGGGGCGCCCCTCCTCCTGGTCATGCGGGGGCTCGGGGTCACCCATGTCTGGGGGCCAGCGGGGGTAGCTCTCATTGAGGTGGATCTCTGCACTCACTGGGGACCTGTGTGAGACCCCCAAGCCTATGGGAGTCTCAGCAGAGCCAGCCTGTCCATGGCTCTGTTCTGACAGTCTCCTGCTCCCAGGGTGGGGGTGCCAGGGGAAGCATATCTACCTCTTCCCGTATCCACCTTGGCCCTGGGCCTGGGCTGGGAGTGAGGTCTGAATCAGGGGCTGCTGCTGTGGGAATTCCAGGCCCCTCTGCCCTGGCAGATTCGGAGCAGAAAGAACGGACTCCGGGCAGGGCACCCACGGTCTTTAGGAAGGATGGCAGCACCTCTGAGGATTCCAGAGGCCCCTGCAGGCTAGTGGTCAGCCCCTTAGTTGCTGGAACTTGGGGAGGGAACAGGAGTGGCTCAGCTCCTTGGCTCAGGAGAGCTTTAACATGTTAAAACCGCACAGGTGTCATGAGCAGAGGCTTAGCCCTGGTGGACGCCAGAGGCCTGGCTGGGCACTGGCCCCTGGCCTTAGCCTGTTTGATTCTGAATCCAGGGCTCACCTGAATCCAGAAGGGAGGACGAATGAGGAGCGAACCCCAGCCTCTGAGGCAGACCCCAGGCACGAGGCTGCCTCTCCGGAGCAGGGCTTAGCACACCCTGCCTGGGGATTTGGCTCACTGCCTGGTTTTGTGTGGCTGGCTGGGTTTTTTTTTTTAAAAAAACCTTTTAAAAATGACTGAAACAAAAATTAAAAGATTACTAATTTATGACTTGTGAACATGATATGAAAGGAAAAGTTCAGCGTCTGTAAATAAAGTTTAATGGGACCCAGCCGGGCTCACTTGTTCATGTGGCCTATGGCCACTCTGGGGCTGTGACATCAGAACCGAGTAGTGGCGACAGAGCCCCTGTGACCTGCAGTGCCCGAAACGTTTCCTAGCTGGTCCTTTGCTGGAGAAGTCGGCCCACCCCTGCTTTATGGTTTTCAGTGTCGTGGGCACCAGCTTCTCAGGTCAGATACCAGGGTCTTGGAACAAACAACCTGAAGCAGAGCAGGAGGCTGGGGGCCAGGCAGCTGCTTGGAGTCCTTGGAGCGGACCCCTGGATCTTGCCGGGAATCCGCTCCCCTCCACACACACACTGGGCCGGAGTCTTCGACATCCCACACCTCACCCACCTGAGTTGAGTGTGGCCGCACGTCCAGGACACTCCTGGCTGTGTGGCTTCCAGCAGGTCTTAGGACCAGGAGATGTTGCCGTGGTAACAGAGGATAATGCAAATCTGAACCACGGGAAATTGAACCTGTGTCCATCCAGGGTGGAGCAGGTTGAGATGGTTTTCACGACATCTAATTGTCCGGGTCTCACAGCTTGCGAGGATCTTTCTCTTCCAGCCCTCCAGAAAGCTGAACGTTTTTAGAAAGCTGGGAGGAGATCAGCCCCACCCTCCAAGCTTGTGAAAACATAGGGGAAGCAAACGAGGTCTCCCTGTGAGGGTGTCAGGAGCTGTCGAGTTCCCAGAATGGCTGGAAGCAACATTTCAAATCCCTGAGGGGAAAGATCTGGAAGTGGAGCTGATGTTTCAGAATTAGGGATGGAAACCTTGGGAGATGAGAAAGCATCTCGCTTTTCAACACGCTCTGTACCTTTTCCCTTCCTGTTGAAAAGCGAGCTGATGCTGGGGGTGAGCGTCACTGCCAACCACCTAGAGACCCGGGATCTCCCTCCTGGGATTTCTGTGAGCTCTTCCTGCCGACACGAAGAGAAAGAGAAGCTGGAGCCGTGAAGTCTGGGTGTTTCCTAGAGACTGGCTGAAGCTCTTCACCTTTTCTGAGCCCAGGACCAGAGCTTGTAGGAACTCGTTGCTGCTCTCAGTAGGAGAGGAATGGAGCACACGTCTGTCTGGCCCTGTGATCTTCCATATTCTCAGTCTGTTCTCCCTGCCGAGAAAACACCTTAGCTCTTGAGGTGTGAGCCCGTGGGAACCTAGGCCAGAGTGCAGGCCCCTCTCTGCATGTGGAAGACACCCCCTAGCACCCTCACATGCCACCCCTGCCGTGGACACCTTCCCCACCCATGAGTCACTCTGAGCTCAGAGTTTGTTGAGGATGAGGAAGGGGGACCTAAGGACTCCTCTGTCTGTCCCCGGCCCCGAGGCGAGTGGATGGCACACAGACAGCAGAGGGGGCGGAGTCCTGCCTTCCCCTCCTCCAGTCTCTGCCAGGTGGAGGGACAGCTTCCAGCCGAGAATAGGGTGGCCTGGCCCCTACACCAGGCTTTCCCTTCCTACCTGACCGTCATCTCCCGGGGTGAAGAGTGGGACCAGGAGGGAGGGCCCAGGGACGTTGGGAGGAATCTGCACTGTGCTTTTTCTTCTCTAAGGTCAAAACTAACGTGTTCTGACCTCGTTTCCCTTTCCCTCCACCCTGAACCCCATAAAGAGATCCCTGTGGCACCGCCGACCACTGCAGCCAGCAGCGTGGAGGAGCCCGAAGGTAAGCGGTCCCTTTGCTGCTTTCCTGCTTTTGCTGTGGGGTGTGCTGGGGGCTGGGGAGGTGGGGTTAGAGGGACCAGACTCCTTTGAACCACCACTGGGGCGCGGGCTGGTATCAGTGGTTCCCCTGGGCAGCACTGAGCAAGATGGAGCCACATGGCATTTTCTGCGATGATGTCCCTTCTAAGAATAAAGGGGAGGAGGCTTTATTAGTGCCTAGAGCTAGCTTCTCTTCCAAGCCTGGGACCCTCAAAGCCACGGTCCTCCTGCTCAGCCAGTGAGGGGAAGAAGCTGTCTTCCAAGCCAGGGACCTGTAAATTCCTTCTTGCAGAAAGGGAAGGAGATGGGTGGTGGGGATGGAAAGGACATTCTTAGAGCACTGGAGTCCACAAACAGAATGAGGAGGGGTATGAATCGGGACAGGAAGAGACTCATGCTCTCATTGTCCCTTCCGTCTAACTGAAATCAAGAGTTTCCAAAAAGAAAAAAAAAAAAAAAAGAACTTCCCTGGTGGTCCAGTGGTTTGGACTCTGCACTTGTACTGCAGGGGACATGGGTTCTGTCCCCGGATGGGAACTAAAATCTCGCATGCTGTGTGGCCCCCCAAAAAAAGAGTTTCCTCCATTGCAAAGGTGGACCACAAACCACAGCCGGGTCAGCAACATTGGAGATTTGGCCACCTGCAGAAATCCCAGCTGTTTTCACATCATGTTAGAGTTGGTGCAGGTATCATGAAATATTATTTATGCTTGTTAATTGCTTAAAAATGATGAAAGTTACCAGCCCCGCTGTGGGATCTTGATTTATAATCATTAATAAAGAAACACATACATTACATCACTGTACCATAAATCTGGGGTTTTGAAAATATTTGGGTAAGTGTATTTCAGTATTGATTAGTTTCCTTTGTAGTCCTGTGGATTTTATTTCTGCATTTAGAAATATTACTATGAGAAAGGACCCATGGATGTCACCAATCCTTGGTACAAGAAGGGTCACCCAAACCTGGCTTTGAGCACAGAGAGGACTCAGAGCCTGGCTGGAGGGGGCACCGGGTGGAAAGCAGGTCAGGCTGTACCCAGTGCCGTGGGCCTGGGGTCACATGGGGCTTTTGCGTACTGGTACTTGGAGGAGGGAGCTTTCCAGGTGGCTCAGTGGTAGAGAATTCGCCTGCCAGTGCAGGAGGCCCAGGACACACGGTTCAGTCCCCGGGTCTGGAAGCTCCCCTGGAGAGGGAAATGGCAACCGACTCCAGTATTCTTGCCTGGGAAATCCCACGGACAGAGAAGCCTGGCAGGCTGTAGTCCGTGGGGTCTCAAAAGAGTTGGATATGACTTAGTGACTAAAACAACTTGGAGTAGGAGTGGGCATGGGGGGCAGGAATGGTGACAGTGGGGCCCCCAGGGGACATCAAGGTCAACTCGGGGGCCCCCTTTGCTCCTCTCCTGGTTGGCCTGTGGGGGAGGCCTGGGTACCCACGTGGTCACCTGAATGCTTTAGAATAGACTGGATTGTTTCGAGTGTCGGCCAATCCCTGGGAACTTGAGAAAATGGATTCAAGACTTGGATATTCATAGTCACCAAACGGCCCTCAAAGAGGAAAGGACAGAAAATTTCAGGGAGTGCTGTAGGCCTCACTGGGGAGAACCAAACACAGAGTGGACTTAGGTTGCTGGGTCTTCAGCACCTTTGGTTGAGTCTCAGGGACACTTACAGGAGAAATTGTGCTGGGAAGGGGCTGGATGAAACAGCATCATGGGTGCCTGGGAGGGCACTCTTTGATAAAAAACAGATTCAGAGGGACAACCCCAGTTCATCCAGCTCCTGGGCTTCCCTGATAGCTCAGTTGGTAAAGAATCCTCCTGCAATGCAGGAGATTCCGGTTTGATTCCTGGGTCGGGAAGAGCCCCTGGAGAAGGGATAGGCTACCCACTCCAGTATTCTGGCCTGGAGAATTCCATGGACTATATAGTCCATGGGGTTGCAAAGAGTCAGACACAACTGAGCAACTTTCCCTTTCAGAGCAGTTGAGAAGCGAGAAGACACTTTCAGGTCATGGAGTCCTGCTTCTTGCTTTTGCTGTGACATGAGCCCCAGCAAAGCTCACCAGGATGAGCTCCTCGGGCTGAGAACACAGCCCATCCAAGGTCAAGGCAGATCTTCATGGTCTCTCACTCTCGTCTCCCACTTTTCTGGTCCTTGGAACCTTGATTTTAGGTTTCTCGTGGTGGTTTTTGACTTTTTCCTTCCAAATTAGAAATGTGCAAATGGAATAGAGGAGAAGCAAAAGACAACTCATGAGATTTCTCTACAGGCCATGAGAAGCTGGTATAAAGCTCAATCAGACAAAAGATTCCTGGGCAACTAAGTTGTAGCATCTTCCTTTGAAAAAACTTTACCAATTCTCAGTTAAGTTTCTCATTCCTTTGGTTTTGTTACTGTTTATTTCCTTTCTTTCTTCTGGACCTTGGAAAACATGATTTCAGTGGAAGCAAACAGTCAACGAACACCCTGAACAAAGCGCTTCCTCCACCAAGGGGCTAGGTGAGCACGTGTGATGCCTGTCGAGATGCTGGGTCCTTGGCCAGACCCGTTGTGACCTCTGGGTCTCCGGATGCCCAGGATCTCTCATGCTCTCCCCAGGGAACTTGGGCCAGATCCGGATCATAGGCTCTGGGACTCTGGGGTTTGCCTCCACAAAGGCCTTGCTTGCCTCATCTCAGCAGGAGGGAAGTTGTGGGCAGGAGGCCAGGGGGCCCCCTGGGAAGCGGGGCCTGGGAGCTCAGTCCATCCAAGCCTGTCGATTCTTGCAGTGTTTGAATAGGGAAGGCCTCCATGCTGGGCTGCCTGAGAAAAGCTTGTTTACTTTTGCCTGCGGAACGAAGGAGAATTAATAAAGCCGAGAATTTGTCCTGAAAGCTGATGGACATAACCTCACCCTGAACTCACCCATCCCCTTGAAGGGCCAGTTCTCTCCGGGAATGCTGTCCACCTGCTCGCTGAGCCAGCTGGTACCCCATTTTGGGGGGAAGGGAGGCAAGTAACTGTGTGCTTGTGGGAGACCTGGGGCTAGGAGGGAGATAAAGACCACCCACTTTGAACCCACTGATTTGTGGTTGTAGAGACCTCTGCCCCTGCGTCCCCTCACCATGCATCAGCTCCAAGGTATCGGTCCATCTGCATGTTTGGTTTGTAGAGGCCCCTGGGTTTAGCGGAGTAAGCGCTGTCTCAAAGCCAGGATGGAGAAGGCAATGGCACCCCACTCCAATACTCTTGGCTGGAAAATCCCATGGACGGAGGAGCCTGGTGGGCTGCTGTCTATGGGGTCGTACAGAGTCGGACACGACTGAGTGACTTAGCAGTAGCAGTAGCAAAGCCAGGAGATCTGGGGTTGATCCAGCATTGACTGTGAAGCCTTGAACAGAGCAAAGACTGCTGTCTTCTGCCTCCTTGAAGGATGAAAGGATGGGACCACTGGTCCTGGGCCTCCCTGCCCTGCGTCTCCTGGGAGGAATGAACTTCTGCTAAGCTTTCTTCTTCCGTGTCTAACACCTGCTCGCTCCCCTACTCGCTCTGGTGATCTGCTTCTCCCACGAGCCTCGCAGGTCCCCGTGGGCAGAGGGTGCAGGTAAATAGTTAACACCTGGCTGGAGGTGGGGCCTGATTTCTAGCCTTTGCTGCTCTCCCTGGTGTAAACCAGGCCCAGGTGAGCCTCCCCACTGGAAATAGAATGTAGACACCTTGGGAACCAGAAAACCAGAGAGAGGCAGAGCGGCCTCTGAGAAGGCCAGGCACTGTTGGCTTGGGCTGGCCTCCAGGTCTGAAGGGACATGGCTGTCATCCAAGTGGAAGCTGGACCCCGGATGGAGGTAGGAGAGCGAACAACCAACGCCTGGGCCCCCACCACCTCCCAGCTGGTCTTGGGTCCTCCCTGCAGCCCAGCTGCACTTACCCTTTTTGGGGCTCCACATGGTGCCCACTGCCAACTGCTCCAGCGGCCCAGCCTGGGGGTAGGGGTAACTTCCAAGGCCCCCCACCCCCAGCAGTCCTTCACGGGAGCCAGGCAGCTGAATCTACATGAGCCAGCAATCCCCCCAACTCAGGTGCTCCCAGGTGTGGGGGTGTTTAAGGGTGTGTGTGTGTGAGGGGTAGGGGAGGGCTTAGAGATGTCACCTCTGGTGACCCAGCAGCACCTCTATTTTTTTCCCGGAAGACAATTTGGTTTTTCTAGACCTGTAGCTGGATAGGGTTGGATTATTCTCACTTTAGACTTTGGTATTCCAGGCGAGGGGTTAAGACTTGAACGCAGCATTGGCTGGTGTTTGGGTGGGGGTGGGGTGGGATGGGGGGGTGAAGGGCACTGAATTGGGAGTTTTAGAAGTGGCAACCCACTCCAGTATTCTTGCCTGGAGAATCCCATGGACAGAGGAGCCTGGGAGCTACAGTCCTTGGGTTCACAGGAGAGTCGGACACAAATTAGTGACTAAACAACAAGAAGATGGAGGGAGGGGCTGAGCTGGGCTAAAGTCTCTCCGTTCCTCATCAGGAGTGTGGGTTTACTTGAGGACGGGTGCAGAGAGTCAGCCAGAGGGAGGGCTCTTGGGAAGACCTTGATTGGAAGCAGGTGGGGCTGCCCAAGACAGAAGCCAGGTGGCCTCCTCACAGACCATAAGACCTTCCTAAAGACTGGAAACCAGTTAAAGGGCTTGACTTCACAATAGCCAAAAGCTGGAAACAGCCCAATGGCTGTTTACTGGGACAAGTGGCAGAGCAGATAAACTCCATGTGTTGTGTCCATATGATGGAATATCATGCAGCCATAAAAAGGGATGGAGTACCAGCATGGGCTGGACCTGTTGAAAATACTAGAAGAAAGTATGAATGCTAGTACCTTGAATGCTAGAATTTAAATGCTAAAACCTTGAAAATACTATGCTGAGTGAAAGAAACCAGACTAAAAAGGCCACACAGTCTATGATTCTGTTTATACAAAATGCCCAG